ACTTCTTGATTTTATTAATTCCTCAAATCACAGTTTATCAGCTTAGCAATCTTGAGGCAATATTCAGTAACACTGCCAACAACTTGGATATAAAAATTCATCTTTCTCTTGTTGCTTAAAGATAAAAATTTAGAACCTGAAAGTCTCAGCAAAATTTTTTTCTTGTCATGCTGAGTATTGAACCCGGGGCCTTGAGCAAAAGCTCTGTCGCTGACCCATAGCCCTAACCCCTGACCTCTCTCTCTTTTTCTATAATTAGAAAACATATTTAAAGCTACCACCACAGAGTACCTTCCTCATTTAGTTAGCTAGTTCATTCAAGGTCAGCCACTTAATCATGGAGGCTGATCTATTTAAGTTAATTGAAAAGAATGTTATTTGGAAATCCCTCTTCGTACTGGAACTCTTGAGAACTCACTGCATTAGGAGCTGAGCTGGAGACGTAGGAGTTATTGCAGGTGCCCTGAGCTCACAGGCCAGTGAGGAAGGACTCACTAGAGCAACTATAACTGTGGGAAGAATTAACTGGAGTACTATAAGCCTTCTCTGTTGTTGACTAAGAAGAAAACAAATTCTTCCATGGGCTGACAGGTCGAAATGTGACAATACAGCCCATCCAGCAGGGCACATTAGATGACTCATTTTGAAAATCACTCCCTGGGTCAAGGGCCATATGTTTTCCAGCTCAGTCTCTTGGGTTGTTTTGTTTGGTGTGGGGGGGTGTTTTGGGTTTTTTGGTTTTTGGTTTTTTTGTTTGTTTGTTTGTTTGGTTTGGTTTGGTTGGTTGGTTTTTCTTTTTTTTTTAAATCAGTGTAATTTTATTTCCTAAATTTGTGAACATGTATGCAAATTAAACTTCATGTATGCAAAATAATTTTATAATTTGAGGACTTAAAATACAAGCAAAGGAGAAATGTTATTCTTGTTGCATATCTACACATTTTAATTACTTTCCCCAATACGTGTCTCCAAAATAAAAGTAAATAGTTTCTAATATTAAATTTTTAATTTTATGATTTTTGAAACATTGTCATGTTATCACAGTTGAATGGTATCTTTCATCATTGTATGTGGTTGGCACATTCAGTTGTACTTTAAATATGGTTTATAGCATCTTGAATGGTTGGGATGTCAAGAAAACACACTAGTGAGAAACAAAATTAGAGTACATGTGTAGTTGTTTTTCATTCTATACTGTACTCTAACATTTACAGTTACTGTCTTTCTCCCTGTGATTTGCAAAGTCTTTAGTATTTACACAGGCAGAATGCCATTGCATTATTTTTTTTCTTCTTCTTAATTTAAGTTAGAAACAAGCTTGCTTCACATGTCAATCCCAGCTCCCTCTCCCTCCCCTCCTCCCCTACCCCCCCTACCAGATCTCCCAGTCCCTCACCCAATCTCCACTCCAATCTCCAGGGAGAGTGAGGCTCTCCATAGGGATCTCCAGAGTCTGTCATTTCATCCAGGACAGGACCTAGGCCCTTCCCCAAGAGTCTAGGCTGAGAGAGCATCCCTCATTGTGGGATGGGCAGCCAAAGTCCATTTGTATGCCAGGGATAAATACTACCCAAGGCCCCATAGATTATCTAGGCCTTCTCACTGATACTCACATTCAGGGGATCTAGATCAGTCCCATGCTTTCCACATAGTCATCAATCTGGGGTCCAAGAGTTCCCTCTTGTTCAGGCCAACTGAACAAGTCTAACACTGAACTGACTCCTGGAATCCAATGACAGAAAGGGATACTGGGCTGGTTTAACCCACAGAAATGGTTTTGGTTTTTTAAGACAGGGTTTCTCTGTGTAGCTCTAGCTGTTCTGGAACTTGCTTTGTAGCCCAGGCTGGCCTGGAACTCATGGAAATCCACCTGCCTCTGCATCCAGAGTGCTGGGATTAAAGGTGTCTGGTGCCAGTGTCTTAGTTTTAAAGAAAAATAAAGTAAGACGTCCCAAAGCAAAGGCTTTATCAGGCAATAGCTGATTTGTGAGTGTAAGACCATTATCACAGATATGAACAAAACATATGAGCTAGAGCGTGTAAAATGCTTAGCATACTGCAAGGAAATAACATGTGCTCAGTAGATGTCTGTGTTCATCCATCCAGAGCTAAGCATGGGCTGGCCAAGAACTCTGACACATCTAGCAATCTAGGATCTAACTATGAGCTCATGCAGACTGCTCTGAAATCGGATTCAAAGTTCTCCAAGAATCCTTGAAGGACTAACACAGACACACACACACACACACACACACACTGGCAGTTCATAAACTTTGCCAGCTATATCTACCAACCCTCCAAAGAGCATACCCCACAGCCTCTTAATAATAATGGCTTTTGTCATTTCAAGAGATTTGCTTCTGAGAAACAGCATTGTTCCAACTGCCCCCTGGTGAGCAATCCAGGAGTGATAGCATGTTTTCTGTGTTGCTGGGTTATAATTTTTAAATAAGAAACTGCCACCAAGTGAAACTGTAATTTGTCTAAGTCCTAAGTTAAAGTTTGGGGGGCCTGGGCTGACTCTCCCATCTGGTTAATTACTATAATTAAAATTTCCAAGTTTTTTATAAGTATGCATACATGTGTCTATACATAATTCTTAAAAAAAAAAAAAACAGATTGGTCACAGTTTGAAAAGAGCTGCACAGTCCCCAGGCCTGCTTTTCCTGGGAATAGTACCCGTTGACATAATTTCCACGACTATATGAGGTGGCGCCTTAACTCGTGGGGAAAGTCTGCGCGTGGGTTCCCAAGGCCAGCTGGCTTACTAGGAGAAAGGTGGTATGGAAGAGAGGCGCCACGGCTCTGGAGACTGGAAGCCCACCTGAGGTTTTTGTCCTCCTGCGACCTCCAGTCGGCCACCACTTCGTGCGGAAGGTGCAGGGGAGGTGACACGTGCACAGTACCGCCTATATGATTTGCAACTGGGCAGGTGAACTCTTTCCTGCAGCTGGATGAATCCTGAATGGAGCCGGGAGAAGAAACAGCCCAGCAGTGGATGAAGTCGTCCCCCTCCAAGCCCGCCACTCCCTTCCCCCTCCATAAGTGCTAACCCTGACACTGTCTCGGCGGCTCTGAGCAGGTGAGAGCTCGCTGCGCGCCAGAGTGGGGGGAGGGGAGGGACCGGCGCCAGACTCAGCATGTCAACCACCCCCCCAACTCTTGATTTATTAACTGGTTCATTATCTGAGCCGAGATTGCGTACGCTATCCTGGCGACAACACCCAAGTCTGCTTTCTCTTCCCCAGCTCTAGGGGAAGTGGAACCCCTCTCCCCTCAATGAGAACCCAGGGAGAAGAGAAGAGCCTAGACCCTTATTAACCACTTTTCCCACCCCTGGAGAAGCAGGCAGCCTCATGCTCTCTCGGTGCCAGGGAAGATTTATTTCAGAGCAACTGAGTCGTCTACATCCAGAACAGTCTAACCCACTACTTACAAAATCTTAAGTGCTCTTTAAGTGGGAGACTTATTGGGGCGAGGAGGGCAAAAAGAACGATGGGGCGAGCTTGGGTGAGGATTTTATGTTTCACAGGAGTGAGAGCAACTACTCACTCCTTACCTAAGCTCCATGTAGCTGCTTTTCCTCCAGGAAGGGGTAGGGTAGAAGTGGAAGGAAGATACACTTTTAGAAATGTCACCACAAGAGGCCACCCACCCACCCCAAAAAAAGGAGAGGGGCCGTGACGGGCTGTGATTTGACCTCAAGAGAAACCAGGAGTGGGGGGTTTCAGGAGACAGGAAAACCCACTCCACGTCCACCCCTCGCCCCAATTCAGGAACTTCCACCCACAACACTCGAAAAGCGGCTGAGTATTTTAAACCGCACGCGACGGAACACACAGACACTCGGCACCGCGCCTTTACCTTACCTTCGCAGTGAGGCAATACTGCAAATTCCGCCAGCGCTAGGGCCACCCCGAGCCACGCTTGGAGGACACTCATCGCCGCCGCGGCACTCTCGCAGGAGGAGCTCAGTGTTCAGCATCCAAGAACCTGCTCTGGCCAAACCCCAGGCTGCGGCGCCGGGAGCCGGGACGCGCGGACAGTGCCGGAACGCGGGCTGCTCCGCCGGGAGCCGAGCTGGGGAGGAAGAGGGGGGTGGACCCGAGAAGGATGCCGCCGCCGAGAGCAACACTCAGTCCGGAGGCTCACCCGGCTCTCCAGCAATCAGATCAGCCACCAGCGGGAGCTGAACCTGCAGGAACCAGGCAAAGCTCTGCCCGCCGCCAAGGCTAGCTGGAAAGTTGCGGGTCAGCGGCTGCTGGGATCTCGTAGCGTTCCCTCGGGCTACACCAGTTCCTCCAGAGGTCCCCGACTGGCGAGCTGCAGGCGCAGGTTTCTCCTCGGCGGCTTTTCAAAGTTCTCTCGGCACGCCCCCCGTCTGTCGGCGTGCTGTCGTAGTCCGAGGGGGTCGCCGCGATCACGCCGGGCCGGCCCACTGCAGCGCTCAGGGAGCTCGACCGTGCAGGGCTGCTGGCTGCAAACTTTGTGAGGCCCTGCGGGAGCTCCGAGACTCCGGGGCGCTGCAACTGCACCGCGCCGCCGGGCTGCTGCAGGCCAGAGCTCCACAGCGAAGGCGTGGGGGGCGCTGCTGCCACTTTCTCTCCCCCGCCCCTCGCCGGGAGGAGGAGTGCCGAGGGGCGCGGCTTGCTCCACACCGACGCCCACCTCCGCACGGTGCAGCCAGGAGCCGCGCTGCAGGGCGGAGGTGCGATTACCCAAGTGGGGGTGGAGCAAAAATTGTAGAAAGAGGCTGGAGAAGACCCCGAACTCAATGCTCCTAAGATGAGGGGCCTGGAAACGCACGAGATAAGTTCCCGAGTGGATCCCAGCATTTAAAGCACACACGCTCCTCCTCTCTCGCCTCCTTCCTCTCTCCTTTGCTGGGTGTGAAAACGGACTCAGAGATTCCAAGCTTTGGCAAAGATTCCAGAGAGTCACGTGGGGGAGGGGGAGCCGCCGTGAGGTGGGGGTGGGGGAAGCCGAGAGGGCAATCTGATCCCCTTATTCATCCTGCAGGAGTTGGATTGGCTTTGTCTGGGGCGGGATCAAAAGTGGTCACACCGGTGGGCGGGGTAGAAATAGGAGGTTAGGTCTCCATTCAGACTCTGTTGGAGGGTCCTCGAGCCGGGTCCACACCCACCCCGCCTGGAGAAGCCAGGTAGGCACAGGGTGCTCACACCCAAGTCCTAACTGCTTACCTCTCCACCTCTCTGTTCGCCCACGGAGCCTGGAGCAGACCTGGTGGTCTTCTTCACTTCAGGGCCCTCAAGGATTTTGCCTGCAGCCTAGAAGTCTTTTTTTAGGCACGTGTGTTCTAGGTTGAGACTTCCACAGTGAATACACCTTTCGAGCTCTCTAAAAAACTCAGTCTGAAAACACCACCCAGTCTGGGTGGGTCCGGCTGCGCCCCCAGATGTCAAAGCTTGGGAAGTCAGTGTCAGGGCAAAAGCCTTCTGGTGTGCCCACTTGAAGAGTGCTGGGGCCGGGGTGGGGGGGGGGGCGCTTGACTTCCAGCCAGGACTGAGTGATAGCTATTTTTAGAGAACTAAATAAAAATAGCTGGCCCAGGTTTAGTCATTTTGATCTGGGGATGACTAAATGGGAAATATGCAGCCTGGGTTCCCATGGGCCTGCAGAAAAGATGCCCGGGTTACCTTGGCACAGCTGTGATGGTTAGACCGTCCGGAAAGGAATTTGAAGTAACACTCAACCCAGAGCTGTGGATGGGCAGGGATCCTAGTAGCTTCCGATATTCCTGACCAAACTGGGCAGGTCCATGTTCTAAAGCACCTGGACTCCTAGCTTTTTAGAATAACTAGATGACATGAAACCTGAGGGTCCCTGTAACTGTCACCACTTAGCCAACAGCCACAGCATGGGTGAACTTGAGATAACCTAGGTGTGGTGGTGGAGTATTCAGGGGACTAGGAATTGCCTGGCTCTCCCTCAGTGGTCTCCGGAGCTGTTGTGGTCCTAGGGACAGCAGCGTTTTTTATATGTGTCTGGAGCATATATAGGGGCTCTGTAACATGGTTGGAATAGCGGACTGAATTAAAGCAGTAGTCATCGCCCTCAGAGAGCAGCCACCACTTGGGTGGGACCCGAGTTCCCTGCCACCTCCCCTCTCTTCACTTAGAGGTGGGGTATTTTCTCAGGCAAGTGGAAAGTGCTTACAAAAGCAGGGTGATGCCTGAACAACAGATTGCAGCCCCTAGCCTCTCCTACTTTGTAACCACTGCCGATAAGGAATAACTTAAGACAGTTGGTTTTTCACTAGAACAAACTATTTGATTTCATTTTTAAGAATGCCTACAATTATGGCACTCAAGGGGGGCTCAAAACATTTTATACTTGCTAAATGAAAACAATCTTTTGTTAAGAAACAGACGTAAAGGAAAAGGCAGGAGCATAGCATTACCAATTTCTCCTGTCAGATAAATTTGTTGTATTTCTTTATCACAGCCCCCTTCACCAGCTCCCATGGGCTTCTCTCTACACCGGTAGCAAGCAGTCCCAGAGTTCCCACTCCAAGGTCGCTGAGTCTCTGCTGACAGATGAGTCTATATCCTCATGCTCCTGCTTCATGTACCCACATTGGGAACTTTTGTTACTATGACCCACAGTAACTTCTCAGATCGGCCGGCCCCGTCATCATATTTCCACCGCCTTGACACTGCTCACCTAGTAGGTAACACATACTGTATACTTTGTCCCTAACACAGGATACTTGGCCCATGACCCTGTGAGGTGGGTACCATTATTATTCTCACTGACAGGTAAAATGACTGGTGGCCCCAAGTCAGGCAGTTAATTACGACAGCACTCTAGAACAAACAGCCCTACCTACTATATGAGTCAGACTGCCACATCTCAGGATCTTGGCACAACAATTTGTCTGTCTATCTTGTCCCCAGAAAATGTCCCCAGCACATTGTTCCCTGGACATTAATGACTCCTTCCTGTAGCTAGGCCATCGTAGCATATATAAAACTCACTGCTGCACGGGGGTGACAAAGGAAGCGCCATCGCCATTCCTCTTGTAGTCCAAGAATGAGCTGCATGCCCCCCCTCTGCCCCCACCTACTACCTACCGGGAAGACTAGGCCAAGGACACATAGGGGAACATGTGGGAGTTTATGTTCTCACTGTGCTGCTTCGAAGAGATCCCCTGCCCTTACCTGTCTTAGCCTTCCTTAACCACACCATCAGCAAGGCTACAGCAGGACCTCTACAGCAGGACCTCCGGTGCTGCCACCAGGGCTTTGCTGACCCTTGTCACAGAGTCTGCTGTTTGTCCGCACTATCTTTCCTGCTTTCCTTCTCTACTTCACTGACCCCTTCATTTCTATCTCCCTTCCCTCTGTCTTCCTTCTACACAACCATTCTCCTCTTAAGGTCCCTCCTCGGGTCATGTCCTGCCTTGGGAGTTCGTGCAATTTTAGTGTGCTTGTCCTGTTTTATCAGCTGCAGCACGTGACAATATCTGTTGTTACTTTTCTCTGCTTCGTGCCCTTTAGAATTAGGGACTGGAGAAGTGTTTTAGTCAGTAAAGGACTCGCTGTGTAAACACGAGGTCTTGAGTTTGGATTCCAATCATCCACATTAAAAGCCAGGGGTGGGGGGAGGGAGGCTCTGTCCTACCACTGCAGAGGCAGAGGCAGGAGTTTCCCTGGGGCCTTCTGACCAAGGCCATTGTGACCAAACTGGGGAGTGGCAGGTCCAATGAGAAAATAATGTGGAAAGTGATGGAGAGAACATAAGCTATCCTATGACGAGTGTTGTACGGATCTGTATTTCTTTGCTCTGGGGGTGGGGGCACCTTTGTTTATCTTTCTGTATCTGCTTGTTTCTGTGCAGAAGTTTTGCATTTCTCATACAGTCAGTATATTAATCATTCTCTACCACTTCAGATACTGTTTTAGAGAAAGGAAGAGGCAATTCATTGTTTTGGGGGAAATACGTTTCCTTATCAGTATCATTTGAAATGCACGCAAGGTTAAACCGAAGAGAGCAAACCCTCCAAGGTTTTAAAATGCGTTTCTCTGTTTGATTTCTCTTGCTCCAGGTAGCTACCCAATTCTTGAACCTTGTTTAGACCATACCAATTGTCTTGGACAAGGTTTGTTTCTCATTGGTTGAATTTCCTGCCTTGGCAGTTGTTAAATATTTTCAATACTTCTTCTGTGCCTACCACAGAAGAAAGCCAGGTATTAGAGGTCGCTGAAAAGGCCAAATGGCAACAGCCAATAAAAAGAAGGCATGGAGAACATCTTAACACATTAATCAATTTCTTTCTTGTGTTAAGTTACACTGACTTTGGGTTTTTAAGTAAAACCTTAACGAATTTGCTCTGTCCTATGACCCCTTTCCTTCCTGGTTTTCCAGACGTCATCTTTTGTTCTCTAGATACCTGAGTACCTCCTTCTTCTACCTAGAACACCCTGAATAGCCACAGGCTGACATTTGCTAGTTAGGAATGCATGGCAGTCAAGGAAATAGGCAAAAATGACAGAAAAGTGTATTTTCATTTACTAACTACTTAGCTACTTTTCTCAGCTGAATATTCCCAGTTGTAACTATTTCTACTGAAAGACCTGAGAAAAGGACAGATATAACAAGGAAAGGAGAGAAAGAACACAGCAGGAGAGGACAATTTAGAATGTGACTATAGGTGGCGAGCCACATGAACCCAACCTGTGTCCCCAGTGCTGACCAGCAAGCTCTAGGACTGAATGGCTGCCCTGCGTGGCTCTTATCAGGCTCTGATCTGGTTTTCCTTTTACAGGCCCCCATTGCTCTCCTTTGGGATGGAAATGTTTACCTTGTACTATTGTATCTGAGTGTTTTATTTTTACAGCAAGGAATCTGCCTCAAACTTCAGAGCAGACTTTGAACTTGGACTTCAGTAATGCTGTTAACTGGTAAGACCATAAGGATTCTTCAGGGTGGGTTGAGAGATTCTTTTTTTCTCCTTTGTCTTTTGAGGCAAAGTTTCACAATGTGTGCCAAGAAGGTCTGAGACTTAAGATCCTCCTGCTTCTTCCTGCCTGATAGTGGAATCACAGGCAAGTACCCCCATACCCACACATTGGAGATGGAGTGGCCCTTTGGGATTCAGAGACAATATGTTGTGGTTTAGATCGTGAACATTCCCCAGTGATCATGTGCAGAAGGTCTGGTCCCCAGTTGATGGTGCTACCAGGACAAGGCAGAACCCTTAGAGCCAAACCAGTTGGAGCAAGTTGGGTTCTTGGTGTTTATCCTTAAAGGTTTTTCTGAGGTCCAGGCCCCTTCCTTTCACTCTTTGCTTCCTGGCTGCTGTGAATTCAATAGCTCTGCTCCAAGAGATACTCCCTATCTGGTGCTCTGCCTCAGCACAGGCCCCAGTCCTTGGAGCCAAGCGGCCAACAGTTGACACCTCCAAAATCAAGAGTCAAATCAGCCTTTACCTCACTAAAGTAGATTCTCTCAGCCTCCTGCCCCCACCCAGAGACAGAAAACTAACACCACAGGATTTCCACACATGCTGCTTTGGGGTCATGTAAGGAAATATTCCAAAATAGACATTACATCTGCCCCATCCCAATTTATACTATCCCAGTATCTCAATGGCCTATTATATAGAACGAGTTGGACAAATTGTGAGACCTCTAGATGAAGGCACAGTGCTGAGGCCCCCCCAATTTAAAGCCCCAAATATGAAATGCTCCCAAATAGAAATCTTATATGTTACAACATAATGTCCCATGTGGAAATTCCACACCGACCTCATGTGAGCAGCAAGGGTATATTTATAAAGTGTATACAAAACAAGTGAATTTTGTGTTTAGACTTCAGTCCTAACCCAATTTGTCACTATATATATATATATATATATATGCATATATATATGCGCCAAAAAATACAAAATCTGAACCCAACAGCATTTCATATAAGGGATATTCAATTTGCATTATATAATAATTAAAATGGGCATTTTAAGCATCTATTGGAGGCACACAATTCAGTACACAGAAGTTTCAACATTTTGGTCATATACATATATTCTTACACACATGCAAACACATGTGCATGTGTACATGTGCACACAAACAGATACAATCATCCTTAAAAATTGTACAACAAAATATTATTTCTGAGATTCCAGGTAACTTTTTTTTATTTTAATTTTAAATAGCTTGTTTTACATGTCAATCCCAGTTCCCTCTCCCTCCCCTCCTCCCGCACTCCCCTTCCACCCTCCCTCCCACCCTATTGCCAAATCCTTCCACATAGGGGATGTCTAGAGTCTATCATTTTACTCTTGGTAGGGTCAAGGCACTCCCCTAAGAGTCCAGGCTGAGAGAGCATCTCTCTTTGTGCTATAGGCACATGAAGACAGATTGTATACCAGGGATAGACACTGATCCACAGCTCAGAGCCCCATAGGTTGTCCAGGCCTTCTCACTGACACTCACATTTGGGGGGTCCAGATCAGTCCCATTCTGGCCTCCCCACTGTCGGTCTGGGGTCCAAGAGCACTCCCCTGTTCAGATCAGCTGTCTCTGCTGGTTTTGCCAGCCCATTCTTTGCCAATTTGCTCATCATTCCTCTCTCTCTGTCACTGGGTTCCTTGGGTTCAGTTCAGTGCTTAGTTGTGTGTTTGCCTCTGCTTCCATCAGTCCCAGGATGAAGGCTCCCGGATAGTTATAGACATCAAGTTCATTATCAGGAATGGGCATTCGAGGTGGTCCTTCCACTATTGCTTAGCTTGCCAATTGATGTTATACCTTTAGATCACTCGAGGTCACTCTGGTGCCTGATCTGTCTTCGATCCTATGATTCCCTCTTCCCCCTATTCTACCCCCACCCCCTCAACTTCCTGTTTCCCCATGACCAACTCCCTTCCTCTTTACCCCCTCTATTCTTCCCAGGTCCCACTACCCCCCCCTCGCCCTGTTCCCCATCCATTCAGAGGATCTTGTCTCCATCCTCTTCTCTTGGGTATTATGTATATATGCATATCTTTTAGGTTCTTTCCTGTTTCCCAGACTCTCTATCTGTGGAAGTGCAGACTGGCACTATCCTGATCCATATCTAAAATCCATATATGAGTGAGTACATACCATGTTTGTCTTTTTGCGACTGGGTTACCTCACTCAGGATGGTTTCTTCCAGTGCTAACCATTTCCCTGCGAATTTCAAGATTCCATTGTTTTTTTCTGCTGAGTAATACTCCATTGTGTAAATGTACCACATTTTCTCTATCCACTCTTCAGTTGAGGGGCATCTAGGTTGCTTCCAGGTTCTGGCTATTACAAACAATGCTGCTATGAACATAGTGGAGCAGATGCCCTTGTTGTATGAACCTGCCTCATTTGGATAAATGCCTAAGAGTGGAATTGCTGGGTCTAGTGGTAGATTAATTCCCATTTTCCTGAGGAATCTCCATACTGATTTCCAAAGAGGCTGTATGAGTTGGCATTCCCACCAGCAGTGGAGGAGTGTTCCTCTCTCTCCACATCCCCTCCAGCATAAATTGTCTTCGGTGTTGATTCCAGGTAACTTTTCATTCCTCTCTTGAGCTTACCTGGATTTTCATTCTTCTATACTGATCACATATTTACTTTTGCAGTGATAATGGCATCAAGGAGATTTTTTAACTTGGCTTCATAGATTTAACTCTTATCTACAGGAAGTAGAAGCTGTATGTTAGAAGATAATCAGGGTTAGTTCATCTTAGCAGCTTAGTGATGGTTATTTGTCTTGTTCTGCTTTCAGGAGACACAAGTGTTCACTATCATTTTCTGGATACTCAGATATCAAATTTTTACCAGGTCACCCACAAACGGATTGAGCCACATGACTAAATCTAGCTCCACAGCGTCCAGTACAACAGCAGCAATCACACATGACTGCTGAGTCTAAAAAAGAAGTTTGTCCACACTGAGAAGTACTGCCTGGTGAAATATGGTTGACATTCCAAACACTTGGTAAAAAGAAATTGCAAGTCAAAATTAAAACACTTTGTGTTGTGTTAAGCACAACGTGTGATTAATGCTGATATTATTCAGGTGTGATGGTGTACAGCTGTAAATAATGCCCCACTGAGGAGGCAGAAGCAGGAGGCTTGAAAGTCTGAGGCCAGTATGGGCTCTATATTGAGCAGCTGTCTGAAAACAATACCTCTTCATTTTACTCATTTCTCTTTTTTTTTTTTAGATAAAAGGCAGTTACCAGAAAATTAGGTTATGTGTTCAATATAGACCTGTGAAGTAGTTTAAAAATAAACTGATAATATCAAGCATTGGCAAGGAAATAAAGCAACTCAAACTCCCATAAATACTGGTTTGTTAATGGAAAATGAAAGCCAATCTGGAAAACAGTTTAATGGTTTCTTATGAAGTCAAATATAAACTTACCATATGACTTAGCTGCCTTACTCTTAAATATTTACCCAAGAGAAATTACAGCCTGTTATATTCATACAAAATTCTTTAGATGACTGTTTAAACTGGCTTTCTTAGTCACCGAAACTAATAAACAACTAAAGTCCCTCCACTACAAAGAAAACAAGCTGTCCTTATAATATACTATGACTTAGCCTGGCATGATGATGATGATGCCTTCAGTCTCAGCACTCGGGAGGCAGAGGCAGACAAATCTCGGAGTTTGAGGCCAGCCTAGTCTACAAAGCAAGTTCCAGCACAGCCAAGGATACAGAGAGAAACCCTGTCTCAAAAAAAAAAAAAAAAAAGAAACAAACAAAGAGGCCGGTGAGACTGTTCAGAGGTTAGGAGCCCTGGCAGCTCTTCCAGAGGTCCTGAGTTCAATTCCCAGTAACCACATGGTGGCTCACAACGATCTGTAATGAGATTTTAATTTTACTACATGTAAGCTAATCCCTTTTTTTTCTTGTTTGTTTGTTTGCTTGTCTGCCTCTCTGCCTCTCTCCTCTCTCTGCCTCTCTCTCTGCCTCTCTGCCTCTGCCTCTGCCTCTGCCTCTGCCTCTGCCTCTGCCTCTGCCTCTACCTCCCGAGTGCTGGAATTAAAGGCATGTGTCACCACCAGGCTAATCCCTATTTTAAAACAACCAAAGAAATCATAGAAAACAAGCACTACCTTCAGGTTGGCAATAACACTAATAATAAAGTCAAATTACATATCTGGTGCACATTAGCTTCCACTCCAACAGCACTCTTTCAGACAAAGGACTTTGGGAGACAAAGCCCTGCAGCAAAGCTCTGCCTCCACACAGTCAGATAAAGGGATGGATGATAGCATTTCAAAATACTTGATCCTCAACAAGCCAAAGTTCCCACCAGCAATATGGAACAAAGTCCCATGCCAACAGTCAAGGAGAGCAAGAGTGAGAGATAAGCTTTGTTTTTCTGAGCATGGACATTTCAAGTTGCTTATTCGGTAGAACCTAGCCCATACTGACAAATGATGATTTCCTTTGTGTTACCTTGCACTTGGGTCCTTCTTTTACATTCAGAATAGCTTTCCACAGCTCCCAGGGAGGGTCCATTCTACAGAAGGCTAATGCAGGTGTAGGAAACTTGTGAGCCTATAGCAAACTTTCCCTTCTGTTTCAGTATACCAAACCGGCTCCATACTCATCCTAGAACACACAAATTTGATGGAATTTTCAATTTCACCAAACTACCTAGGACATGGTGCCATATTCTGACAGTGAATAGTGTTGACATCCCCAATATCCAATCCTAGACACTTTTAAGAGCAAAAAAAATCATGACATTAATAAATAATCCTAGAGTAGCAAAAACACAAACCAAGATTCCTCGAAGGACTTGACTTCCTGGAGAATACACAGACACCTGAACAATTTGGCCATTAGGAAGAAAAGGTATGGAGAGGGCTGGGTATTGAGATACAACCACAGTGGACAAAGATTTTGAATCACCTTCAAGAAAATATAGACTTCATGTGGTACTGATATAGCTACAAAATAAATTGTCTGTGAGGGAAAAGTCAGCCGACTGTAAATTGTGCTCCTCCTGCTCATTTACAAGGCATTCCTTCCAAGGAAGCATAGCTGGGAACCAACATTAGGGGGTGTAACTGCCCCAGTGTATCCTGGGTCTCCCTGTCTTCACCCCACCATGAAGTCACCCTAAGCACCTCAGTGCAGACATGCCAAAAAGTAAAATCTTCCACCTTCTCAGAAGCAAACTACAGACTTAGAGATTATTTCCACTGTGATCCAATGATACCAGTCTCCACAAATGTAGGAAGGAAGACAGCATTATCTTAGGAGTCCTGGGAGGAACACCTAGAATGCAATTTAAGTTTCGGGGCTAGCTGGTTAACTGAATTCAGATAAGTCATTAATAGATCCTCTAAGTTCTTGTCTGTAATGGAGAGATAATAATATTTGAGACCTACTTATCAAACTGGGTTCTAGTGAGACTCGATTTAAGAAAGTGGATATGAAAATCTTTTTAAACATTAAGGGCACTTACACAAGTGTGGCATTATTACAAAATTTCAGCTAGGTCAGGCATTTTTCTGTGCAAGGCAGTCTTAAGGATATAAATAATCACCCTGTTGTAATTGGATATGTAAATGCTCCCAAAGGTCTATTTTAGCCAGCTCTTCAGATAAATCAAAGCTGATGATGATGGTGGTGGTGATATTTTCTCTAACTATGAATGAGAAATAGAAAGACAGATGATGTCCTGTTTTGATCAATGCAAGAAGACTAAGTAGCCCTTAGTTATGTCATTTGTTTTAAAGGTTTTCAGTGGTGACATAGCCAGCATGAGAACTTACACATGGTCAGAGTGTGTTCCGTAAGTTTCCATACCCTAGCCTTTAGTTTTTCTATTTCCTCTCTTGTTCTATGAATGTCTAGTAACAGCCAGGTTGCAGTAAGTCTGGCTTCAAACCCTCTAGACTCAGTCAATCTTAAAATGACTGTGGACTCTGAAATGACAGCAGAAAAACTGGCTTGCTCTCCTCCTGGGACTCTCCTGGCAGACAGACAGCCCTGAGCCTGCTGTCGTTTTTTTTTAGGAGATTATAGAGTTGAGAAATGTTTCCCCTGTGGGCAGAAGACAAAAAGAAGGTGGGAAACACGACAAAGAGGAGACATGACTGTGTGTCCCTTCCCACCTTTTAGCACCATAAAATATACAGAATTTGAAAGTTTGGTGCCTTAGAGAAGGGGAAGTGTCTGTCTCCCAAGCTGGCCCCCTCTTGTCAACTCAGCATCCTCCCTCAACATCTGCTCCTGTACTTCCCAGCAGCACAGGCCAGGCTGGGTCTGAATCAGTGATGTATCAGATATGGCAGCAGCATGGGATTTCAATTTAAATAAAGCCAGGCCAAAGCGGCTCATAAAATGTGAAGCATCACCTTAGCTCACATGAAGATTCCTCAACAGAAAAAGATCTCATCCCAATAAGAAAGGCAAAGAGCCGTAAGACTATAATTAATTCCACAGATATCTAAGGATAGGACAAAGCTTATGGACCTGTAGACTCCAGCATGGCCACTCTACCTTCCACTGGAATAATGCAAATAAATGGAGACTGTGGTTTAACCACATTTCTTTATTCAAAATGAAAGACAGTTATTTCCATCCACATCTGAAGTCACAGCCGTCTTACAGTTTAAAGATATCAGTTAAGCTGCATGTGAGTTGTTTATAAAAACGCAATGCTACTTTACGTGATCACCATCAACAGCCTCAGGTCTTTTTATTTCCAGTATCAGAGTGGGGCTTCCCTAATTGGCTACCTACATCATATTAAAACAAAATAAAACTCTGAGCAACAGACATTTTAATCAGCTGCACTTAGAGTATTCAGCTAGAGAGATGGCTCAGTTGGCAAGGTGCTTGCCATGCGCGAAAGGTCCTGAGTTCAGTCTCGGCCACCCACATAAAAAGCTTGGCATGGTAGAACATACTGCTAATGCCAGCACTGTGACAGCCAGCCTAGTCTAATCAGCAAGCCCAGGTGCAAGCAGGAGTCTCTACCTCAAAAGAAAACAAAAACAAAACGAACACCTCCAACAACAAAAAAGGAAGCACTTTAGGAGAAACAACAGTTGTCCTCTGACCTCCACATTCATTAACACATTAGTGTGTACACACACACACACACACACACACACAAAGAAGTGATCTTGAAGTTGTAGAATACAACAGTGGTCAACTGGGGTTCTTTGAAGGACTTGAGGGGCATCAGAGAGAGAGCGAGAGTGAGAGAGAGTGAGAGAGAGAGAGAGAGAGAGAGATTGGTCCACAGGTACAATATTACATTTAGATGAGTAGTGTGAATGCCAACATTCTGTAACAGTAGTGTGACTCATTTACATAACAATAATTTATTGTATATTTCTAAGTAAAAGAATAATCTTAATACTCAAAAATGTAAATGTTTACACTACTGAAAATAATAATAACTCTGATTTAGCACCACACATTGTAAACTTGTACACAAACATTAAAATATATTCTGTAATACATGCAGTTATATTATAAACAATTAAAGTTACAATTTTAAACAGAATCCCACGCCCAAGGATGACTCTCCTTGGTCAATGGCAGGGGTCAGCTGCTTTCCTGCCTGCCCTGCCTTTGTGAGTTTACCTACAGAACTCCACCTACCTCACTTCAGCATCCCAAACACACACCCTACAGGGAAGATGCCCTGACGTCACAGCTGTGTAGGAATATAGCAGTCGCATAGTTCTTTCTCAAACATGAATAGAAACATCTGAGAAAAGAAACATAGCTTGAAAAAAAATGCAAAGATAGCCAAATGGCATAAGGGATCTTGGAGTTTAAAAAATTCATCATAGAAGAAACAAGATAACTTTTTAGGTTGACTTTTTATCCTCAGAGGTTTTTGGAAGGGCAGCACTTCTGTAAAGCAAGTCTGGCTACCATGATTTTGGAGGGAAAAACAAAACAAAACAAAAACAAAAAACAACCAGACACAAAGGCCCTTTTAGGAAATAAAGATATGATTGCCAAAATTAAAAAAAAAGTAATGGAAGTTCTAAATTATAAAACTTAAATA